CAAAACTGATGTAAATTAAGGGTGATTTCATTGAATGTAGGAGGTTTACTTTTTCATAAATGCAATTCAAGTCAGATCYACTAATATTTATTTCAAATTAACTTCTGAAAGTATGAACAAACCAAACAATTGTAAAACACAGGCTGTAACCTTTTATCATTCTTTAGTCAGTTGGCAATTAAGTTGCTGTAAATCAATATCTATCTAAAAAAAGGATAATAAGAAATCTTAAATGTTTTCCATTTTACTTGCTATTTACTTACCATGTACTATTTTTTAATGTTGCAAATTTTTGACAACTGCGGTATCCTAGTCTGATTTGCAGTGATGGAAACAAGAAAAGAATGAGACCAGCTGCAATATAAAATATTGAAAAAAATTATTACAGTAATATTATTTTTAAAGCATGTTAGAATTAGGTTTTACAGGTGCTGAATATCCTGCAGATGGATGGAACTATTTGTACATGCTCTGTCATACCTTGGAAATTTTTTTGTGAATGAAGATCTATTTATTATGGTTAGATTTTTCAATTAATTGCTGATGATCTGGAAATATACTCACTGAAGCTCAGACTCTCCTGCACGTATTATGGCATTTAAACTAAAAAGGCAAGAAATCAATTTAGTTGTTTGTTCTGTAATTGACTGAATAGCAAATGAGATACAGGATATTGAAAGGTCAAAATGAGAAACATACCGAGAACACTTATTTACAAATAATAAAAAGTTTTTAATAAAAATTTGTTTAATAATTGAATTATACCTTTCATTTAATATTTTAAATAATTTTTATTATCTCAGCACATCTTTGTATTTCTATTAAAATTACTGAATCCTTTATATACAATACTGCACTTAAAAATCATATTCACTTCTCATATCACAGGTACTGGAAAAGGTGTGGATTGCAAGGAATGAAGTGATGGTCTTTACAGTATTAAGCTATGATTGTGATGAAGGCTAATGCTGTTTCATCTGTCTTAAGTGTCCGGACATACTATGGCAGGCAGCTGGGTCAGCTGCAGAGGAGGTTCCCTGTGTCACTTGGTGCCTCTGCACTGTGCTGTGGGAAGGCACCTGCAGCTGACAGGGACTGCAGAAGTGATCTGAGCACACAAGGAGCAAGGCTGGTGCACCTCTGCTTCCAGCTCTCTGGTCTTCCCTGCTCCTGACTTCCAGGGAGATTCCCAAGAGATTTTTCTGCTTTAAATTCTTGAATGTCTGACAGGTTGTGCCCACATCTTCCAAGTCACCAGGGGCCTCTGCTGGTTAGAGGAGAGTAGGTGCCCAGCACAGTAAGGAGCTCAYCCACCCTGTCCCTGCAGCCCAGCCATCCAATCACTCCAGAGAAGGCACTGTTTCCCCTGCCTCAGCCAACACTTGGTGCTTGCTGCAGCACTCACTTGCCTTCTTCAAATGCCATCTTTCCACTTGGCTCTTACCTACAATCTGGACGGGAACATATTGACAGAAGAGTCTTTCTTCTTCCCACTTATCTCCCTGGGGACCTTTTCTTGCTATCAGGTCCTGGCAATACAGGATCAGAAATGGGACTGTGCCCAACCTGGTGCTGTGGATTGTTTCATGTCCTCATTATTTTGGTGCCCAAGGTCCTGTGGTGAGGGGTCTGTCTGGCTCCAGGGCGCTGCTTGTAAGCTGTACCATTCCCCCAGGGAATGACCGCTGACTGGATCCCAGCTTGCTCTGGTCCTTAGGCTCACAGGACACCTATTTTCTCAAAGAGGATAATGCTATTATTGAAAGGAAATAAAACGGGGAAGAAAAAAGATACATAGAAAATGGAATAAGCATAGAACATATGCATTAGTCAGCCTTTTCAATGAATAATAAAACACATTTATATGAGATTAAATTCAAGTCTTGTGTAAGTGAAAGAGAGACACTGCACTTGCTTTCTGTAAGAGACTGAATTTTATCTAAGCAGCTTTACATTTTCTTAAAAAAAAAAGGTAAAAAGTTGCAGAAATGTTGACATCTCCAAACCTACCTCTCCTAAACCTTTTTAATAATCTGCTAGATCCTTCTTACACACTAGCTTTTGCTTTCATTTTGAAATCACCTGTTGACTTGCTTTCTTGCTGTGGTTGTTTTATTACTTTGCCCTTCAACTGCCCTTCCCTAGAACTTTTAATGATATTTTCTCCACTACAGAGAACTTCAACACTTATTGGTATTCTGCCTTGTAAAAATAAAGTACAAAACAAAGCACATTAAAATATTAATACTTCTTTAAGATTGTACTGTTGGGGATAAAAACAGGCATGGGCATGAATGTAAAGGAGTAATAGTGGAAAGATAAAACAACTACAACATACCATGATGAAACAAATCTTTCTTTACTATGTGTATGGTGAAATACATTCATGTAGACTTAATAATTCCTTTGCAAGTATTTGTGAAATCTCTCCACCTCTCCTTGTTCCCTTAGTCTAAATGTTCCCATATTTCTCTGGAGGTTGTACTTGGGGGATTAGGAATTCCCAGTATATGCTCATATCAATAAACATATTGGATGAACTGAATATGTTCTGCAATCTGTTTCATACAGCAGCTCTGCTAACAGGATCTAATGGTTCTTCCTGAGCTTTGAATATATGTGAAGCATCTGGCTTTGCTRAGAAAACGAGGCTAAACTGTAGATTTTCTTTATAAAGCATGAAAGCAGAGTGTGGTGCAGCTAAGCTACTGTCAGAAAATTTACTCTCTTCCTTAAGATAACCTGTCCCCGTTTCACAAAGACCTGGTGTTTGTGACTTAGATGGGGCTTACATGATACAGGTTGGAGTTCTTCAAGGGGAGAATTAGATAATTCTGCTGTGTGACTGCAAGCTAAGGCACTTCTCAGGGCCTTGCCCTTTAACTTATCCTATCACTATAACGAAATAAAGAGCTGATCTAGCTCAGATCTTTGACAGTAATCATGCCTGAGCAGTTTGGCCAAGATCTACTGTTGTACTTACTGCCAGGTCACGGGGAGAGAAATCTTGAGGTCTTTTAATTTCTCACATCTTACCTGTGCAACAGAAAGATAGCTTAGTCAGTGCTGAACAAATGCCATGGTCTGACTAAGGATTTATACAGAACAACAGCACCAGAGAAATGTTTTGTTTCAGGCACTCTGGTGTTTTGGGGGGGTTCTTTCAGCCTCTAGAGCCACAGAAGCCAGTGGAAGTCCTGCCACAAATTGCAGGGGTCAGGCCCTGCTCAGGGTCAATCCCCTTGACATTAACCTTGCAGAAATCCTCTGTGTTTCTCCTACTGGGCCATCAGTCGAGACACTTTAGRGGAAACCCCTTTGAGCCAGCTCGAGTTACTCAATTTTCCCATCACTTTTGTGAACCAAAATTAAATAGCCTCTTTCCTGTTTCACTCTTCCGTGAAACTTCAATGTATCAGTTAAAGCAATTCTAAGGTTTTGTCAGAGASCTCCATTTTGCAGACTCTATCAAAAACACCTAGGCAATTCCCCTGCAAGGTGGTTCTGGTTTAGAGTGCACCCTTTCAGCAGACAGTGTCTGCTCTGTCTGAAGTTCAACATTATAAAGAGGTCAGAAATAAGCAATACTTACTCTTGTTGCAGGGGCAGAGCTTAAGTGGCCACATGTTCATCTAGAAACTCACATAGGATTGGAGCGAACAGCATGAAGCTGTGTCAGCGGAGGTTTAGATTGGATATTAGGAAGACGTTCTTCACCCAGAGTGTGGCTGGGCACTGGAAAAGTGGCCACAACATTAGCTGTGACAGAGTTCCAGAAGCGCATTTGGACAAGGTTCTCAGGCACATGGTGGGATTCTTGGGGATGTACCGTGCAGGGGAAGGAGTTGGACTTTGATGATCCCTGTGGGTCCCTTCCTGCTCAAGGATATTCTGTTTCTGTGATAACCGTGTCACTTTCTTGTCATTTTAACATCTTGCAGATGATGTTTGCTTTTCAGAAGGCAGCTGCCCCACCCTGATTCACCCACTGCCGACATGCCCGGTTGGGTTTCCCGTGGTGCCAGCCCCGCTGGCCCAGSAGGCTGGCAGAGGGGCGTTGCTGTCACTGTGGAGCCGGGATGCTCCCCTGAGTCCTGTCAGTACCGCGCAGGCTGGGGGAGCATCCCACCTGTTCTGCCTGCTGCACTACTGTGGGCTTCTTTCCTTGCAAAACTTCCCTGCAGGGCAGCTAAGGACATCCGGGTAGGGTGACCGATCCCGGGAGGCGGAGAGAGGCGGGGGAGACCGGAGACCATCCCCTCTCTCTGCTGCTGCTGCTGAAGCTGTGCCGGAACCGGAGCCGTCGATGTGGCTCCCCAGAGTTAGTTGCTCAGCAACCAGAATCAATTAATATGCTTTGCAGAAAGTGCAGGGGAAGCCCGAGCTGCTGTCAGCKAGCAGGCAGGAGGCTGAGGGTGACTCAGGATCCCACTCCTGCCTGACACCCATTTGGTCCCACCCCATCTCCAAACACTCCGACAGCCACTGTTCTTCTCCCCTTTCTCCTTCCCGACGGTACTTAATGCATGTGGTCCCAAATTCTTCAGGCGAAGTACCTCGTTGCTCAAGAAGCCTCCTGCTTAAAGGGTTTTGCTTTTAGATCTGATTTGTATTTTGGGGTTATTTGTCAAACCTTCTCAACACTTTTCTAGAAATTCTAATCATGTTCTTTGGGAAGGGAAAGGGATAAGTGGTGTTTCTTCAGATGGTTTTAAAGATGCCTCAGGATGAAAAGGGTTGTTTGGTAGTTGAGCAGCAGCAATGAAAATGCATCGTGAATTGGGAAAGTTTTTGCCTCTTTCTTTATTACAAATGATCAGCCCTGCATATATGAGACCAAAGAGCTAGTAAAGATTGTTGTGAAACACCTAGATAATAGAGTAAAAGAGGGGGCGTTGTGGGATTTTTATATCTTCTCCTTTTCCGTATAGTAATTTCAGGGCTTTGGTAAGGTATTATTTTCTTTTTTTCTTTCTTTCTTTCTTTGATTTTCTTTGGAGTCCCTCTGATGACACCGCGAATCTGGGAATGAAGAACTTCTTAGAGCTGATTGGAAATGGCATTGCGGAGCTGAAACTTAACTGGAGGAAATATATCTCCTGAAGAAGAAAATATAATGCACTGTAAGGATCTGTCTTCTGGTGAAAAATTCAAGCCTAGAGAAAACTTGTCCGCTTTGTTAGGAAGAATGGGTTGGACAATTTTCTTCAATTCCAAAGGATATCTGAATGCCATGCTGAGCTTAATCTCTGCAGCATGCTCTGTGCTTCTCATCTCTTCCTGATGCACTGCATGGTAAGGCCTTTTTTCTTCCTTTTAATCATAACCATCTTTCTGATATGGTGAGAAGTATGAAATAATAGCAATAGTGAAATGAAAATTGAAAAAAATGTAAAAAGGTAGCAAAAGAATGTTTGTTTGCATGGTTGTTTTCAGGAGCAAGTCCTGATTACTGCAGCAGCTTTGTAAGATCATTTCTGTCTTTCTCCCTTGCTTTGTGACAGTGTGTGTGTGTGTGTGTGTGTGTGTGTGTGTGTGTGTGTGCACCTGTGCTGTTGTTTGCACTCAAACTGGAACATCTGCAGCTGTATTCACATATTTTCATGCTAAAGAGAAGGTTTAGGAATTCACTGTGACATTTTTCTCTCTTTTTTGCTCCCTTCCCTCCATTCCCCTCCTCCTGCCTTCTCTTTCTCTTGCTCTGTTTACCTGGGGTCATGGTTCTATACCTTCCCTTCACCTCAGTCGTGCACSGACTGCTAGAAGGCAAAAATAGGAGGTAAAATAAATCCTGTATCAATGKATGAATAGCCCTGAATAATATTATCTTTCTAAATGAAAGCTACAGAAAGGTTTTGATGTCTGCAATACTGGCAGGTACAAAACATTTATACTATTTTGTTTCCATGGGAAACAACTATCAAATGCAGACTTGGATGCTGTGTTTTAGATATAGTGRGAGGCAGATCCTCTTACACGTATCAGAAATCCGAAAATTACCACTGTGAATTATTACTCAAGTCATAAAATGAACAAACCCAGTATGGGATGGTCTCTTATCAAGTAATTTTTGGCTATGTATTAGAGGAGCACTGAGAATTATTACAAATAGCTTCAGTGGGCATTACAAGATWTTTTTTTGTTCACAGCTGTAATGTGGTTTCATCTTCCTGGATGARAGGTGCTAGGGGAGTGCACAGAGATTTTATTAACTACCTGACTTATGAATATTTAGGGTCATTGTCAAGAAATTGCCAAGCAGATCAGGAATTGCATAGTGAATGTACTGAGATGGAAGAACAGGTTTATTTTCCAGTAAAACTGGTTTATTTAGGTCTCTGTTTCAGAAATTAGGGTACAACTAAAAGGTGATGTAGTGGTGATGTGACACGTATGTATTTTCTTATGCATCCTKGTTGATCACTGAGTTTGGAAAAGTTGAGTGTTTCTTGAGTAAACTGTGGTAAGGGCCTGCCTCCACACTGAGGGCAACGCCTTGGWAATCTGACTGCTTTTGATGGAGCTGGAATAAGATCAGGAGCAGGTTTCTGTGACAGCTGTCACGGGCTGTCCAGCTGGGTATGGAGGTGACAGGTTCCTGGCAGCAGCTTTTCAGGATGGGAAGGATGAAAAAAGCCAAAGCAAAAAAGCTGGGCCATAGCAGGACTCATGAGTAAGAATCAGAGCTTAAATACTATTCAAAAGTTGTAATTTTGTGGTGGTTCTCAGTACATCTCCTCCTTGTATGATGAAGGACTCCATAAGGCAGTTTTTAAAGAGAGGATGGTAATACAACTTCTTCAAATCATTGCAGCAGGAGCAAGCACAGATGAAAAAATACATTGTACCGTGACAATATTTCAGTAGGGTTCAGAGGAATCAGCCTTGATTTTAAGAGTAAAGTTCAAAACACATATACCTGTCCATTGAAGCAGAATTTTGGTGTATTTTATTATCTAAAATGTATGACCAATGTAAGAGCTGATAAACAAAACTGAGGAAGAACAACACAACCCATAAAYGTCATCTTCACTGTCAGAAAGGATCTCTTACTTGTGGAAGTCATCCCCTCAACTCTCTGTGTGAACAAGGACTGCATCCTAAATTCAAGTTGCCCATTGCAAACCTTTCCTCATATCAGCAGTTCTGTGTCAATCACTGGAAAAAAACTTGCATGAATATTATTTTTTAACCCCAGCTGTCAACTAAGCACCGCAGGTCTGCTTGCTCACTTCCCCCTAGTGGGATGGGAGAGAACCAGGAAAGTAAAAGTGAGGAAACTCATGGGTGAGACAAAGACTGTTTAATAGGTAAAGCAAAACCACGTGCACGCAAGCAAAGCAAAACAAGGAATTCATCCATCACTTCCATGGGCAGGCAGGTGTTCACYCATCTCTGGRAGAGCATCTCTAATGTGTGYAATAGTTACCTGGGAAGACAAATGCCATAATTCTGAACAGTCCTTCTCCCCTTTCTCTTTGTCTTTTCCCCATTTTATATGCTGAGTGTGACATAATTTGGGATAGGATATCCCTTGTGTCTGTAGGGGTCAGCTGTCCCAGCTGTGCTCCCTCCCATTTCCTTGTGCACCCCCAGCCTACACTCTGGTGGGGTGGGAGGAGCAGAGGCCTTGGTGCTGTGGCAGCTCTGCTTAGCAAGAGCTAAAACATCTCTATGTTGTAAATACTGTTTTTAGCACCAAACGTAGTCTCATACTACCTACTAGAAAAAAAAATCTATCCCAGCTAAAACCAGCATATTCTCTATTCCTTATTATATACCATTTACATCATGCTCAGGTCCCAACTGTCCAATACATCCSCATTAACCACCCCCACTTCCCATCTTATATATAATATGTAGATGTCATTCCCTGGGTCTATGGACCACCCTTACAAATGTCCAGAAATGTCCACAAAACCTCTATCAAGTTCATTTTTAGTCCACAAATTTGGGCTCCATCTCTTACAGTGGTCATTCAGGATGGGAGAGATCAAAACTAGTGAGTAAGAACAGTGAGTAAGAACTACTCATGTGAATAAATTCTGAAAGGTTTTGTAAGACCAGGCTCTTTGATTGTCATGGCAACAGATTTATTAGGCTTCAGGCATAATTTGGATTTCCCTTCTAAACAAAATCTTTTTTCCCTTTACCTATGCAAATCTTTTGCCTTGTAATTAGAGCAAGAAAAATAGGTTAATTACATTCTTAAAGATCATACAACTGTACAGATACRTTGTTAGCGAAAAATTACCAGAGTATGCAAAAATTTGCCTTTATTAGTGGCCTCCAAATTGAAGCGAAGTGTATTCTAAATTGAATCATTCATTGCCTTATTATTTTTCTGACAGTATTAACATTGCTACTAGGTATTGTCAGTTTTTCCTGGAACCCATCCTGGGTTCATTTGAAACACCACTGATCTTACAAAATACTCACTATTATTAGGTTCAAGGATACTTACACAGCTTTTTACTACATTAAATATGTTAATTTTCTAGTTAATACATGATGTTTAGCTCTTTAGTTGATGCAGGAACATTTATATTTACAGTATAGAAACACGATATAAAATCCTAATTRTAGTAAACTTCCCACAGAATGTAGTTATATATTGAAATAGGAAGGATAAAATTATCTGGATTTTATTTCTCTGTGCAATTTTACAGGCTTATARATGTCTATATTATTAGGATATATATTATATAACAAGAAATATTTAAATAAGTGTCATTTGTAAAGAACAGTTCCTTTTCACACTGGATTTCTTTTTCCACTAGGTAGTGCATTATGGTAGAAAGAAAAATAATTACAAAAAGCAAATATAGCAGTTTTATATGTATCCAGTACACTAATGCAGGAATAGGTTCATTTGTTTATTTTATCCCTAAAATATACTTAGCGAGTGTAGTGGATTCTTTTCTGAAGAGTGTTTTGTTTTGAGAGTGAAGAGTGTTCATTCTTTAGCATACATTTCTGTCAATGATTTGCTGTGACTTAAGACACTTTAGTGACATTTTAAATAATTAAAAAACTTGCACAACAGCTGTGTTTGTCTTTCTGTGTCAATTCTAAAGTAAAATTAGTAATTTCTTTTTCTTTTAAGATACTAATCAATAAAGTTTTGATGCTGAGAACAGCTGTATTTGATTTCAGTCCATTTAAATGTTTCTTTAGATAAACAAAATGAATTAAAGCTTGGACCACCTGCATTGTCAGAGAAGTTATACTGAGCAGTGGAAATATTTTCCACACCTGCAGCAACTATTTCTAGTCAAGAAAAATGTGGCACATAAGCCATTCTGTACTCAGAATGCCTTTAGCTGCCTTGATTCAAGATCCAGCAGAAACCTGAGTTTTGAAAGGCCTGCAAAAAGCCCAAAACAAAGCTCAAATAAATCTTAAATTTTTTGTCATTTAAGTGTAAACATCCATGAAAAGAATATTTCTTTGTCAAGTAATTTCTATACATCAGAATCTGTGTTTTTCTTAAACCAGGATAAAAAAATTAAAATGTTTTTAAAAAGTGAGAAGTTTTAAAAATCAGTATGTTTGGAAATACTGATTTCAAAATGACACAAGGTTTAATTTTGACATCTTTAATCAGATTTCCATTCGTTACAAGAAATTGTACTGATCTCTTTTTATCTGTTTTTCTCTGTGAAATTTTGCAACCTTTTTTTTTTTGACAGGGAAGTGTTTTGTTGTGAATTTTTTTCACAAAAAATTTTTATAACTGTCCCCATGTTTATTGGCTATCACAATAGCCTTCAGTTCTTTAATTAGAAGCTTTCTGAAGGGTCATCTTTAGTATTACGTATTGCAGGGCCCCATATTACTGAAACTGAGCAGCAATTCTTATCAGGTCTATGGYAGAACATAATCTCTGATGGCGATTCCCTCCTTTAATTCTTCTTGTCTCTTCAACAAAAAGCAGGCCTCTATTTTCCAGAGTTTTACAGATACCAGAAATAGTACTTTCTACTACAAAAACCTTCAAGAGGCCTTCAAAAGGCATGCAGACAAGGAGTAGAATTAATCGAGTATTAATATCCTTATTAAATAGATAAGGAACTGCCCAAAGCTATACTGGCAAGGGAAGAGTTCGGAATTGAACCCAAATGTCCTTACTCTCAGTTCATCACTGTCCCTGCAAGGTTGCTCTTCATTTTGCTCATTTTTTTGCTTAATGACTTGCATTTGGACTTTTAAGTTAATACTAGCTGAAGTATCAAATGTGAAAGGAAATTACTGATGCGTACTTCCTTTGCAGTCTGACACAGTTGTCCTAAAAA